TAGTAATAAATAAAACGATTTTTTTATCGGAATAAAATCGGAATTTTTGCTGTTATCGTGATAAAAATTTACGATTTGATATCGGAATTTTTCCGGGTCTCTGACGCAAACCTATTTGTCACACATTATCTGTCACACCAAATTCACGTGTCACTGCATAATGCCGGCCGACCAGTGCTTTTTTTTGGGGGAACGCTAGGGTAGTTATTTTATCCTCCTGATTAACAAATTTTATTGGTCAGATTTTGTTACAAACTTCACGTTATCTTTAAAAGATGGAAACTTTTAAAGAAAAACTTCAACTACTAAAGTTACTTTTACCAGATGCTAGAGAACAAAATTTGTCCGTCGCGCTTAGACTTAGTAATGGAGAGGTAGAAAGGGCTTTAAACATTTACCTTGAACAAAGAGAAAGACACGATAAAAGTTCAAATCATTCGAAACAATCAAAACTAGATTCTTTTATTAAAGAAAAGCAAGCGGATAAAAAAGATATTGAAAAAAATGATGATAATACTCCCTCCAAAAAGAGGAAGATCGAAGATTTAACCGACAAAACCGTTAATAAAGATAATCTATCTAGTAAAAAACTATTAAATTTACAAGAAGTTTTGAGATGGCCACCTAATACAAGCGAATCTGCGGTTGAGAAAAGAATCCGAACACAAACATTACGTTTATATCGACCGGAAGACATTTCTGTCAGGACACCATGTACACTCATACAAAATGTGCTACCAAAAAAATTAGCAAATTCTCTGTTACGAATAATGTTGAAAGAAAGTGATACTTTTACACGTAATCAAGGGTTTTTATTTGGGCAATTATCTACTACGCCTCATACTAGTCAATATTATGTGTCGAATGAAATGAAAATAGGGAGTTCCAATGGACGCCATTTTCCGCCGGAAATGGAGCAAGCAAAATTCATTATAATGAATATAATCAATGAAAAACGAAAGGAACGAAAAATGTAAGTACTAAGGTTATTTTTGATTCATTTTTCACATCGAAGTAACATTATTATATCTCGTGTTGCAAGATATGAATATGAAGTGCAAGGAGATTGGAATCCGAACATTGCTGCGGCAAATTGTTATTCTGGTTCAAAAGGTAACGTATATTATTTTATATAAACCGACTCAACGTTAAATCCTTTTTTTTTCTTTCCCTTCAAAATTCAAAACGGTTGTATTTATTTTTAAAATACTAACATACCTACTTGATATACATATATATTAGAGTGTGTTAATTGGCACAGTGACAAAGTAATCATATTTCTTTAATCAACTATTTTCATATCACGTAGCTAATAAATTAAATTTATATGTAAATAGTTAACTCACCTTGGCCCTCTGCCCATTATCGGGTCACTTTCTTTGGGAGTTACTCGCCAATTTCGTCTTCGTCGCATTGGTAATGATTCATTGAATATAACGAATCAATCATCTCCATCTACAATCTATTCAATTCCGCTTATACACAATTCACTTATAATAATGTGGCCTCCTTGCCAAGAACTTTGGAAACACGAAGTTTGTCCTCAGAACTCTATTGATAAACATCCAATAGCGGGTTCTAAACGTATAAACATCACATTTCGTCAATTTCGCGATGAATATGGGAATGAAATGACTCCTATTTGTAATCATGGTGAACTTTGTATGCTCAAGCCTGTGTTCAATGGACGTAATGTCGGACGATATTTTTATACTTGTAATGCTGGTGGTCCGGAAGGAAAGTGTGATTTTTTTGAGTGGTTGAATATTGACAAAAAAAAAAAGGATTTTGAAGAAAGATTGAGAATGTTGGAAAACACAAAGAATTCTGAAAAATGATGCCGGATATATAATATTCGGAAAAATTCTTAGCGCTTATTGATATTGATGATGATATTATTCAAAATATTGTATAAAGTACTTATTTGATCTAAATTATTTAAATTACATTTTTTTTAAAAAAAAAAAAAAAAAATAAAATAAAATAAAATATTTCCAAAAAATAGTTTTAATTTATTACAAGATTTTTTTTTTTTTTTTTAATTATTACCTTGATAAAACTCAATCAATAGATTAGTTTTATATATATATATATATATGTTTGTGTGTGTATATATAACTTTTCCCAATTATAATATCTCGCTTATGGAGAAAATATATTGAATGATGCAAATTTTGTATAAATCATATGTTCTTAACAAATGAATAAAAATGAAAGAGCAAACAAAATGTCCTTACTGCCCTATAAGTAGTAGTACCATCCAACTTCAATATATTTCATAATGTTTTCGTGGTCTAGTGAAGAACCCTTTTTAAGAAAAATATAAAAAAATATAAAACAGAAAAAATAAAAATAAAAAATAAACAAATTTCATATCCTTTCAATTAATCGCGGTCAAATATATGTTTACCACGTTGTTGGAATTGTGTCATTGGTTTACCGCTACCGACCACGCCGACTACCAAAAGAAAAGTATTATGCACCGTTGCAACTAGAAGAAATCGTATATGATTTTGATGAATTCGAATTAACTCACCTTTGCCTTCCGGATTTTCTGGAGTAGCAAAGATACTCTTCTTGTTTATTGGTGGTTGTACCAGCCTTTTTGCTTTCGTTGTTCTCTTGCCAGGAGCCGTGGCTGAACCACTTGCAAAAGCAAGCCAAGACTTTTGTTTCAGATTTTGTTCATTAACTTTCTTTTGTCCATCACTACTTTTCTTTTTCTTATCTTTATCCTTTTTATCCATTGAATTTTTTCTTTTACTTTTTTCCAGAGGTTTAATATCTTGAACATTAACAAGTTCAATATTGTTATAACCTTTAAAAACAACCGAAAAAACTTGATTACCACCACCGATAGCTGTTATTTGAGCTTGATAAAACTGTCCATCGCCAGACCAGCGCGCCAGACAAGAATCTCCGACTTGAAGTGGTTTTGTAAAAGTTGGTAGAGAAGTTAAAGTTGGTGTAGTTGGCGTTGAATTGTTCCTAGGTGAAACCGATGAAGCTGACCTTTTAGAAGGTGAAAGTGTTACCTCTTGATCAATAATGGTAGTAGTAAGATTAATTAATTCTGTTAGATCCGTTTTAAGTTTCAAGAGTTCTGAACTTTCAGGTTCACTTTTTAAAGCAAGATTGACTTGGTCAAGTTGATATTGATATTGTGCAAGTTCTTCAGGATTCATGATGTTTGATTGTTCTTGGTTTTGTTTTCAGTGAACTGAGAATAATTGGTCGTTACACGAGACCCGGAAACTTTTAGTATTTTAATACCGGGCTTTTCATTTGTCTCTGGTTTCACAGATTTTTGTTAATATATAAAACTTGATGTTATATATACAATTATATTTGATATATTATTTTACATTTTATAATGTTTTTATAGCAAAATAGTTTAAGAATTTTCTGATTTATAATTTAAATTTAATAAATCAGAAATATAAATTGTTTAATATAATAAATATGAAAAAATTAAAATATAACTTAAAAATTATATAATTTAACAAATATAAATAATAATAAAAAAAAAAATACAATTAAAAAAAAAAATAATATATAAATAATTATAATCAAATATATAAATTGTTTTATTATTAATAAATATTGTTTTATTATATGATTAAATATTATAAACTAATATATAAAAATTAGTTTTATATAATTTTGTAACAGTATAAAGTTTCTATTTTATTATTTATTTAAAAGTCTTAGTTTTTTGATTAATGAAATCTTATTTATCACATATATCTATTTTATCACAATTAAAATTAGGGTTAGAATTAGTTAGGATCAAGTATTAATTATTAGAAAAGGATACTAGTAACCTCTAGTATAAATAAAAATATTCATTTTATAATTATAGTATAATAAAACAATTATTACTTAATTATTATAAATAATTTAATAATATAATAATACAGTCAACTCTCTATAAATATACTTCCCTTGAGACTAGGTATAAGAGTGTATTTAAAGAGGATATGCATTTATAAAATAATATAAATTCATATAATACTAATTTAAAATTAAGGTAAAATAAAAAAATTATTAGTAAACTATATAAAATTTTTTTATAAAGAGTGCATTTACAGAGAGTATATATATAAAAAATATTCATTTAGCACTAACGGCTTAAGTTAAAACTATATAAAATGGTACATATATAAAGTAAGCATTTATAGAAAATGTATTTATAGAGAATTGACTATACATTTATTTTTTAAAAAATTATTTTTAAAAATAACTTGAATTTGTATTTCTAAAAATATAAAAAATTTTAAAATTTACTTTAATAAATTAATTAAATTAGTTTTTTAGTAAAATATTATTTATTTTGTAAATATTAATTTAACTTTAATAAAATTTTAGATTTATATAGTATTAAAATCTAATAAATAATATTATTTAAATATTAAAGATAATTTATTTTGATCAAAATTTTTTAATTATATATTTAAATTATAAATAGAAAAAATTTGTAAATTTTAAATATTATTAAGAAAATTATTAATTATTTTATAAATACTAATTTGAGAAAATTAAAACTAAAAGATAAAAACATTAAACCTTAATTTTGATAAAAATTTAAAGTTAAATAATTTTAATCTTAAATAAATAAATTTACTTAAATAAGAAAAGTAATTATTTTAATTATAATATATAAATTATATTTTAAAGTTATTAAGTATAAAAATTTTTAAAATATAATAAAATTGTTATATAAAATTATACATAAATTAATAAATTTATTATTATTTTATTATTATAAATTTTTAGTTTTATATATATAGGGCAGACTACAATAAAACCAGATAAAGTGAACATTTTATTATGTGACATAAATGAGAGGATAATTATGATATGAATGTAAAATTGATAGTGTAACTGAAAAGTAATAATGGTACTCATCCATAACTTATAAATTTATTAATTTTAATGTTCACTTTATCATACTAGAATATAGTGAATATAAACCATAATAGGATTAATATAGGATTATTTTTATATAAAAAATATTAATATGAAATTAATTTACATTAAATCCACTATGAAACCAAAGAATTATAGCACTATTAGAAGCATTCTAAAAAAAAGAGCAAAAAGAAAAAATTGCTCTATATGTTTTTAAAATCAATGATATTCAAATTCTCCAGGAATATCTAGATCAAAAAAAAATTATTTATGAAATTTATTAAGAAAAACGAAAAATAATATATATTAAGAAAAGAAAATAGGACAATGATATATTATTACTAAAGCTCTGCATAAGTTAGCTTAGTTTAGATTGTCACTGGTTTGAACTGAGCCACTTTTTTTTGGCTTGACTCAGCTCAGCTTATGGAGATCAATTGACAAGCCAAGCCAAGCTAATCTGGCTTGCATTTATATTTAGAAATGAAAAACTATTAAGAGAAATGTTTCTTATTAAGAGATGTATTCCTGAAATAATTCCTTTTGAGAAAAATATTTCTGAAGCATTTTCCATTAAGAAATTAACTTTCAGAGCATTTTCTTTAAAAAAATTTGCTTCTAGAGCGATTTTCTTGAAGGATTTCACTTTCAGAACATTTTTTTTCAAAGAATTCACTTCTGAAATAATTTTCTTGAAGAATTTCACTTCTAGAGCATTTTCTTTCAAAGAATTTACTTTCAGAGTGATTTCTTTAAAGGATTTCACTTCTGAAGCATTTTCTTTAAAAGAATTTACTTCTAAAGTAATTTTCTTGAAGGATTTTGCTTCTAGAGCGTTTTTCATAAAGGATTTTACTTTTGAAGCATTTTTTATTAAGGAATTCACTTCCAAAGTGATTTTTTTAAAGGATTTTACTTCTAGAGCATTTTTTTTAAAAAATTCGCTTACAAAGCAATTTCATTGAAGGATTTCACTTTCAGAATATTTTTCATAAAGGATTTTGCTTCCAGAATATTTTTCATTAAAGAATTTACTTCTAAAGCATTTCTTTAAGAATTCATTTCTGGAGTGATTTTCTTGAAAAAATTTGTTTCTAGAGCATTTTCTTTAAAAGAATTCGCTTCTGGAGTGATTTTTTTAAAGGACTTCGCTTCTGAAGCGTTTTTCTTAAAAAAATTTAACTAGTACCATTTCTTTATTTCAATAAAAAATATTTAATTATTTAATATTATAATACTAAATTTATTGATAAATAAATTTATCTTTATTTTTAATTTGTAAAAAGAATTATTACAAAAAGTTAAAATATTCTTAAAAAAGAATAAAAGTTAGGTATAAAAACTTTATAAAACTTTAAAATACTAAGTTTTCTTAATCTATTTATTTTAAAATAAAAAACTAAATCAAATT